ATGATGGCCTTTTGAAAATGCAAAGTAGAATATGCCATGCTCTTTGCTTGAGTGACTCTGTCAAGAAACCCATTATACTTGATCCGAAAAACAATATCGCTTCTCTTCTAATTTCCTACTACCATGAAAAATGTCACCATCAAGGTAAGGAAATGATTTTGAATAAACTTCGTCAAGAATACTGGGTGATCAAGGGACGACAAGCAATCAAGAGTTCATTCAAGAGGTGCCAGTATTGCAAAGTGAAGAAAGCCAAAGCAGATACTCCTCGGATGGGCGATTTACCAGACTCACTCCTGGAGTAAAGCCATTCACTTTTGCAGGTAAAGCCATTCACTTTTGCAGGTATCGATTATTTTGGTCCATTATTTGTCACAGCTAGGCGACATCGAGAAAAACGGTGGGGAGTTCTATTTACTTGCATGACAATTCGTGCAATTCACTAAGAAATCGCAAATTCACTCACCACCGATAGTACTATAATGGCAATTCGGAGAATGATATATCGACAGGAACCCATAAAACACCTGTTCGGATAATGGCATCAACTTCAAAGAAGCAAATAAAGAGCTGACAAAACTGTACAAAGAATTAGATACGAAAAGAATGTCAATCGAGTTAACAGAAATGAAAATACAGTGGCTCTTTATACCACCGATAACTCCGAACATGGGTGGGTGTTGGGAGAGGCTAATCGGATCCGTGAAGAAGATTTTGCAGGTTCCCCTTTATGAAAATTTTCCAAAAGAAGAAGTTCTTCATACTCTCTGCGTAGATGCCGAAAACATCGTCAACAGCAGACCTCTAACACATGTCTCAGTAGATCCTTGCGACCCTCAGTGTCTAACGCTGAACCATCTCCTAATTGGTTCATCATCGGTTAAGATTCCCTTTCCAACGTCATTCGAGGAACTAGACCTACGAAAGCAGTGGAATAAGTCGCAGATGTTGGCAGATATATTTTGGTCAAGATGGATTAGAGAGTACTTGCCTACTATATCTCGACGAGACAAGTGGAATCGAGAGCGCAAGCCAGTTGCAGTTGGAGATGTTGTTGTAGTCGCTGATGGCACCTTACCTCGAAATTCATGGCCATTGGGGAAAATAACTACAGTTTTCCCAGGAAGAGACAACATCGTCCGAGTGGTGGAAGTACGAACATCAACTGGTTTGTACAAGCGACCGGTAACGAAAACTTGTCGACTAGATGTAGAAGGTGAAGATTCCAAGAAGAATGTTCACGGTGGGGAGCATGTTACGGAATGAAAATGAAATGAAGACTGTTAAATTTGATCATATTGTATATTGTATTCATATGTTATATGCTATGGAGATTGTTGTTAAAAATTTGAATTTGACAAGAAAAAATATAGAAAAGTCACAAAAGTATAAAGGGTTTTTCTATATCGAAAATACGTTTTTCACAATAGTTGCTGTAACTTTCTCTCAACTCCATGTTTTCTCTGAATTTTTTTGTTTCTCTATTTAACATATTTTTTTGGAAACAGATATAACGAGACCATCAATTACGTTGAATTATCTGTTTGGTGAGCATATTGATGGGTATTGGGGGGATATTCCCTTAGATAATCCCTTCTAATATTCCTGTCTACATTTCCGCTAGAGTTCTCAATAGGAACGAAGTGAGGCTGATTCGGGTAGGGAGTGATACGCCGTATTCGATTTGTGAATATACACAACCCTTGCTCTAGCGGAATATAGCTCCACGTCAAACTTTTTCAATATAATTCAACCAGGAAAGGTAGTTAAACTTCTGTACCGTTTTGTTAAGGGACAGGAAGAACTGCGTTCATTCCTGGAGAATTGAATAGGGAGAAATAATTCACCGCCCATTACACCAAATCTGGGGTGATAACCATTAAGGCATTCTTCCAGTGCTCCATTTTTGTTCGTATTATCGATCCAGTTGGCAGTAGATTTGCTGACGGACCTCTAGAAGCAGATTGCTAGGAAAATCAGCCTTCAGCAGGATCTCTAACGTCCGTAAAAGAGCTATCCGGTCGTTTCATCGAGTCGAACCCGTGAGTCGGATCTCTGGCAAGAGCCTTGTGGATTCTCATGCTGGCAGGTACTGACACCTCAACCACGCCGCTAACCTGGCCTCTAATACAGAACTTCTAATCCCCGTGAAATTCTGTTCATATAATTGATTGCCTAATACAGATTGATTGGCCAAAAAAGTAGTTGTTTCCCGTAAAATATTTCAACAACAATTTTCTCATTCATCGAAAAAACTAATCCCCATCATCAAAAAAACAAACTTACTCACCTTCAACTCTAATATCGACAATTCTCACTTCGATGGGCATTTTATTGAGAATAAAAATCAATTAAAATCCTAGGAATCTTCATTGATAATAGGTTGAAATTTGACCAGCATATTTCAGTTTTAACAAAAAAATTGGCAACCGGATGTTATGCACTCCGAATTATTTCAAATGAACTGAATACAACCAAAATGATATATCATTCTCTGATTCAGTCTCACTTGAGATATGGTGTTGCTTCTTGGGGATTTCGCAGTCAACAACTTTTTCATTCAGTGTTTGTTTCGCAGAAGCGAGTAATAAGATACTTATGCAAGGTGGGAGTGCGTGATCCATGTAGACCTTCATTTACTAGAGAAAAACTTCTAACTATCACTAGTATTTTTATTCTGGAAACTGCTTGCCTGATTTAAAGAAAACATAATATGGTTGATACTCCGAAACATACAAATCACGTAACCTGTCAAGCAACAGAAAATGAAATACCTCTTTCTGTTCCAAAAACAAGCCAGTGAAAATCTGTTTAACCACATACCGTACAAAATCAGGAAGGGGAAAAGCTATAAAAAGTTCAGAACTCTTGTGAAAGAAGCCCTTGCAAACGAAAGCGTACTACAACCTTGAGGAATATTACAATGTAACTCTGTTGTGATTAGAAGTTCCATATTGCCTTACATTTACACCCATATGTGGATTGTGGAGTCTGATTATGAACTGAAAAATATGTTTTTGATTCAATGACTTGTGAACTTATGTTCGAATAATGTTCTCCTGTATATTTGTGTTTTGACATTCCGTAAATGATCGTTAAAGATTGCAATATTCCACATTTTATACATGACGTGTGAACTTGTTCCAAATTGTGTGATTCTGTGTATTTGTGTTTTGATTCTGAATTTTTAATAGAAAATTATTTTTCTTCGACAATGAGGTATATATTGATCTCATCTCATCAATCGAGATACTATTTGGACGATAAAAGACAATGCGATTATATAAAACTCATTCAGGAGATCCACAATTTATCGCAGAATATTTCACAACAATCTGATATTATAATAAGAACAGTTATTCACTTCTATTATATTGCTCAACCCTTTCAGACCAATAGTACGCTATAGTGTACATACTATTAATCAGTTATTATTATTATTATTATTATTTTGTTCGCAATTTACGTTTTGGGACCGTGTGGCATTTCTCATGTACATGTGTTTTGGATTACTGAGACGAGCAGCGACATTTAGTAGGTAGGGACTAAACTAATTTATAACTTGTTGAACATGACCGACGATAAATTGGATTTGCCTGTTGAGTGATCTTTCATTGTAGTTTTTTGCTGAAACTTTGAATAATTTCATTTGAATTTTCGCACAATAAGTTACTTATTGATGAATATGTACTCTCACATAAGTCTACGAAGCATGAAATAGTATATTTGATGTTCAAATCCACGTTTTGAATGAGTGTACAGTATCATGTACATTAGGTCCTTCTAACAACTTTTGTATTATTTGAAATGTACATCATACTGTACATTAGGTCTTGAATGAACAATATGTTTACACTTAAATTTCACCTATTCAAGGTCCATCAGGGACACCTACACAAAAAAGACTGAGAAAAGAGCGTTATTCAAGATGACACTTCAGATATAGATTTTTGGTCGGATTATAGCAGCGATGATGACTATGTTCCACAACAAACCAACAGAATCGGACAAAAAGAAATCGCTAAAAACGTATCATCAGAATCCTTCAACGAGTCTGAATCTGAAGAAGATCAACCAGAACTTGAAGAAACCATAACAGTCATCAACTCAAGCAAGTATCAAGAAGAAAAAAACAGAATCAACAATTGTTTGGATGCGAGAGGCAATTATTACTCCAGATACTATACATTAGCACCTATAGAATTTTTATAAAATCACGAAAATGGACTTTGGGATTATTAATGCACATGATAGACTTTGTTCTAGCTAATCCATGGCTGGAATATAAAAGAGACTGTCAACTAAAAAATATTCCCAAAAATAAAGTAATGGATTTTCTTCATTTCCGCTTTGATGTAACTAATGATCTCATAAAAGCAGGTAGGCCCATTGAGAATATAAAAAAAGAGGAAGACCCAGCTCAGCTTGTGATGATACACCAACATCATCAAAAACTGTCATAAGAGGCGAGAAAAGACCCATTGCTGATGTTCAATTTGATAATGTTGATCATATGCCTCTGTATAGCAATAATAAGGAAGCCACTAGATGCAAACTGGCAGGTTGCAAGCAACCTTTGTCTTGTGTTGTGAAAAATCGCAATTGTTTCGTGAATTTCCATTGAAAATAAAGTATTATTATAAAGTATTATTATAAAGATGACGTATAACATTTGTTTTGCGACCTTCTGTACATTCCAGTGTACATATGGAAATGTACAACGGCAACCGTTGTGTCCCAATGGACTGTATAATGTACACACCATAATATTTTTATCAATAAAAAAATTATATATTTTTTTGACAGTACGATTCTTTGATCGGATAGAAAACACTCAGCAACAACAAATATTTTTGTAATAAAAAAATAAAAATCAGGTCTGAAAGGGTTAAATAAGACAGAAAAAAATCGGAAAATGAGCTTTAGCAGCTCGCGGCTATTTGCTGCACGAGCAAAGCGAATAGTTCAGTTTGAAATAATTCCTCAAACATTTTTTCTAGGTATATCCACCCTCCAAGTATTCTTGCACACCCATGATACCCTTGGCAACCCTACTCATGCTCTGGTCACCCCTGATGTGATGCTTGGTTTCGAGGGTGATCTTACATTTGCCAACAAGGTGGAGAGTTTACTATTCAACATTTGGTATCGAATGCTATACTACTGGTACGCTTTACCTAGTGCAGATAAAGTCGCAAGAAAATATTTCGGGGAAGACATTCCTTATCTAGGCGATATCGAGAGAAATACTAGTTTGCTGTTGGTGAACTCGAATCCCATAATGCACGGTGTCAGGCCGAATGTGCCCAATGTCATAGAAATCAACCAGATTCATATCAAGAAGAAGAAGCCGCTGCCAGAGGTAAGAATGTATTGATTCACTAACCAGAAACGCCGTCGTTCCGTTCGGACAAAGTCAGTTTGCTCCTAACAAATGTAAATTAATAATTCAAAGTTCTGAAACTCATCAACAAAAGAACGAATGGATTGAATTGTTCTTAGTATTTTCTGATTGTGTAATAGTCATCAGGTATGAATCGAATAACAAAGAGTGAGCCCGTACATTGAATCATTTGCAACGATATTCTTATCAAGAAAATAATGTCAAGTATTGAAAGTTAAGCACAACATGTATGATAATTGAACATTGTACAAATTGATAACCACATTCTTGTGGTTGGATGCTGCTTCACGAATGAATATATTTTCACATCCAGCATGTAGAAAAATGAATTTGATATGATGCACATAAAACAATTAATATCAATTCATGAGAATCATAAAGAATACCTGGAATCTACTACTTTGTTTTTTTCTTCACACTTTGCGCATTGATATCTTGCCATGAGTGTCCTGATGTGTTATCCTGAGAGATTCTGATCATACTTTCTGAACTTCAAGCCAATATTCATCAACACTATTCGAAGAGATTTGATTTCTCTATTGGGAAGATGATGTTCAGCAAGTTATTCTATCGATGTTATTAATCTGAAGAGTTCTACCACAAAAAAAACATCTATGTATCAATTTTTGGAAGAAGCCCATTGTAATTCGAATCGGAGTGGTGTAGTTCACAGATGAAAAACCCAAAGTCATCTCCACAACTTCCATTGAAATGATCTAAGATCACTAAACTAAAAATACTCATACCGTTTCTATACACGTCATTAATACTATTACTGATTGTGACTTTTCGACCATCATCAGTGCCTGAAATGAAATCACTCTTTCTCTGTTATCTTTGAGTCCAGTCAAATCATCATCAAGTTCCCGTTCCGCAGATATTTCTCATACAGTAGCGATACTGTTTCTCAATGCAGCAGATGCTCATTTTCATGCAGATATATCATATTTGGATTATTCTGATAGCACAAAATATAGTTCATATCATCATTCACCTAACATTTCTCACAGCAGTCAGTAAGACTTTTAAGTCATCGTTACCACGTTCATTTTAGTAAAATTGTATCAATGATACAACCAACCTCTGAGCCTTCGCACTCAATGGTTTGGGCATTTTGAATAATTCTAATTCGAAATAAACCAACGATCCATGAATAATCAACAGAATAATTCTTGAGAGAACATAATGAAAGATTCTCAGAGATCAGCTGATTTCGACAATTTGCTTCTAGAAATGTCAAATGGCAATTGGCACATATTGATAACGCGTTTCGCCCGTTTCGAGAGTAACGAGTATTTTTTTGTTGTGCAGCTCGACATTGTGACCAAGTATTGCGCTACTATCTATAGCATGAATGAGTTGAAGACCTTAGGTATTTTCATTTTCCTCATGATGAGTACTCTATGCATCCGTGCGAGATTTCTGTGAGAATTTTTTTCAAAACAACATTTTCACTTTCAGGATATTCGAAAGTATCTGGATTCCTCTCCACAAGGTATAGTTTACTTCAGTTTGGGTTCCAACGTCAAAAGTGCAAACCTTACTGAATCTACAAGGAATGTAATAATTCAAGCTATGGCAGAGCTGCCTTATAAGGTAATCTGGAAATGGGAAACCGATTATTTGCCAGGAAAACCGGATAATGTTATGATAAGAAAATGGCTTCCTCAGCAAGATGTCTTAGGTAGATTTTGTTATAGTTTGTAGTTCATTTATTTCGACAGCTACATTCCATAAAATTATTTCATCATAAAAGGTTTCAGTCATAATATTAATATGCAATAAAATGATTGATAATCCTTCTGGAAACCACATTTATGATGTTTTTCACCTTCATCATTTTGAAGAAAAAAGAATAGCGAATTTAACGGAATTATGAAATACTAGGTGTTTCATTGAAAAATGCATAAGTTTGGGTAGAATCTTCGAAACCGAACCCCATAGGAAATTGTTGATTACTCCACTGTGTAACTAAGTAGATATAGAAGAGGTACAAGAGGTATTATTTCCATCCTGCATCTCATGAACGGCAATAGTAACGCAAAATCTGATTAGGTCATCTTGAGTTTCACGAAAAAGTAGGACAGGAACGTGAAAATTGCATTGTTCTATCTTCAATAGCAACCAAAAAACATGACAGTCACATCCAGAATGGGATGCATTGTACATACTATAGACCCGCAAGAACTTGGAAGTGTTCACTACCAATAAAGTTCTCACTACCCGAACTAACATTAGAAGGCATGTCAGTACGCACATAGTTCCTTTCAGTAAGTAATAATAATAATAATAATATATTTATTGTTCATTCATATATACAATACATGAACAAGGGCGGTGGCATGGGAATGAGTGGTCATATTATTTAGTACAATAGAGAGACAGAAAAATAAAATGAAATAGAATAGATGGAAATCAAGTCATAATAATTATCTACCTGCCTGATTGGTGACAAAATAGGGAACACCCCTCAACAACGGTTGGATGATCACATCCAGTTTCGCATCAATATTGATCCTATTCATTAACTATGAATGCTCCAAGTTTCATCGCTCCGCTCAGGAATTGGTACAGTTTGGTGAGTATGGAGAAATCTGTTGATGATAGTATCGAGTCTAAGTCGTCTGAATGTCCTCTAGGTTCGATCATGTTGCTTCTTAGATTTGCATACATCGGGCAGATCAGCAGTATGTGTTCGAGAGTTTCTGGTAATAAGCAATAGATGACCCAAATAACTACCGTAATATAGCTTTAATGAATCACAAAACAAAATTGCTCACACAACTCATTAACAATAGACTCACAAACTTTGTTGAAAACCTCGAACTATTACCAGAGTGTCAGGCAGGATTCCGCAAATCCAGAAGCTGTGATGACAACATTTTTGTTTTGTCAACGATAATAAATAACTACTTACGTCTCCCAAACAGGAAACTGTTCGCACTTTTTGTAGATTTTAGAAAAGCATTCGACACGCTGGAATACAGCGTGCTGTGGGGAAAATTATTTGCTAATGGTATAAGCGCAAAGATTGTTAGAATTCTGAAATTATTGTATAGCTCAGCGACTCTGTCTATTGAACAAGATGGTAAAATGTCGGAAAAAATCAAGATCACCAAAGGGGTTCTACAAGGAGATACTCTTAGTCAGTTAATTTTCTCATTATTCATCTCTGATATTAGCCAATACTTTAGAGAACATGGTGCCATTTCAGTAAGTATTGCATCTGAACTATTTCAGTCGATGAAAAATGATCTTGAATATCAACGTACAGCGTGAGACCCAGCCCCTGGCTCATAACAGGAAAAGGTGAAGTGCAAATGCAAATTTGGCAAAAATAGCGGAAATGGCGTCAGAAAAATTACTTGGCCAATTTTTGTTAGTGCATGACCGCATAACGATTGCGCTCCATATAGCACAAGTAGTAGACAATATAGGAGTTTGATGAGAAATCATGAGCAAATAAACAGCTTGTGGCATTTTTATAACACCATATTTTGAGTTCCACTCTATATATTCGGAAGTGCTGAGGTCATTTCGGATTGAATATGTGATTTTGACAATGAAAAGCATTAACTGAAGGCGAGATTGTTTTATTATCATTTTTATTCATCAATCATAACAGGTTTATTCAACAATAACGGAAATGAAATGAAGACATTAATTTTCGATGTATCTATTTCAATGTAAGGAATATGTTGGGATAAGTACACCCAACCCGGAAAAATCACTTCCACTCGCACTCTGCGTAATAAATCTGATTGAATAACAACTTATTATCACTCAGATAATATCCACTAACATCTCATCGCTTGTATTTGCGATTGAAGAGGCATGTCCATTGAGAGCAGTTCCTAAGCACCGAGTGCGCTTGTGGAATAAGTCACTAAGGGATCTGAGGAAAAAAAACAGGAAAACCCACAAGAAAGCTACTATTGCAAGCGACGAAGGGGCGTGGAATATAAGACCGCGGGAAGAGCATTCAAAAAGAAGCTGAGGGAAAGTAAGAAAACAAGCTGGAGAACGTACTGTGAAGAGATCAACTCCCCCACAGAATCCGCCAGACTCATAAGTATTCTGAGCATAGAGGCAGAAGGTGGTATCACAACCCAGGAAGACCAACGGATGCGCGTCGTAGTGGAGGGGAGCTGTCCTCAGGAAAGTTATCTCTTCCCCCACCAATGGTGGTCATGGACGAACTCCTGAACAGGCTTACAGATGCAGATTGTGACATAATCCGAATTGCCCCTGATAAAAGCATATCTAAGGAGAACGTGATCATGGTTGGATGGGAACATTGTTGTTCACATACAGAAAAGTTGTAGAAATCTGTCAAGTTCCACTCATTTTCTGACACTTCTTTCAGTCGAAGACGGATGGAATTTCCATCCAGTTTCAAACTCTTCATCCACTCATTCAGCGGATGCTATTCCACCTGTGCCGTTTCCTGACAAAGGAAAACGAAATTATGGAGGGTTTCACAAAATAAGCAGAAACTGATAGACCTGGCTACCTTGCTTCTCCTCTCAGATGTCAGTCACAATGCTTTAGCCAAAGCAGGACAAGAGTGCCTATATGCCTTCTACTTTTTTTTCTTTCGCTCTCTTCCTATAATATTTAATTCTATGTTGATGCAAAGAGTTCAACAAATGAATGGTGAAAATGAAAGCTTGCTCGAGTGTTACCATAACTCGAGTTCTTCTACTTAGGTGAGGTGGATTCAACGTGTTTGTAGCTTCTGGCCCATCGATTTCAATTGATTTTCAGATTTTCAGTGCGCTCTCCCAAGGGTACGGAATCCTTTGGTTTTTTTTCTGTTTGCAGCCCAATATGGTTTTTATGAGAATCTCTGAGAGCTTGTTAAGTTTTTCATCTGGGACTTGTCATTTGGTTCTATAAGTGCGCGTTCTTAGGGCACATGGCCCTTCATTTCTTATGAAAACTTGTTTTTTGTCAACCCCTCTTTTTAACAATATTACCACGATATTATGATGATAGACATCGGAATCCAATTTGAAATACTGTTTCACCTTCATTTACTTCTAAAAACGGCAGAAGTTGGACTTTTATTAGTCCGAAACATGTTTCCTTGACTGATTCACATCAGTAATGAAGTAGTGGGGATGACTATGAACTACCCCTCTTCCTAAGGTTGGATTCAACACGTTTTCGGCTTTTGGCCTCATCAATTTAAATTGATTCTTGGATTTGTAGTGCGCTTTCTCAAGGATACGGGACCCCATTTGATTTTTTTCGTTTGGAACCTGATATACTTATAAATGTCCATGTTTGTATGAGCATCTTTGAGTGCTCGTCAAGTTTCACTTTTGAGACTTGACACATGGTTCCATAAGTGCGCGTTCTTTGGGCACGAGACCCTTCATTTCAAATGAAAATTCGTTTATGCTCGACCCCTTCTCTCACCATAATGAGTACGATGTCATGATGATAGACATCGGCATTCGATTTAAAATATTTTACGTCCATCAACTCCTAAAAACGGCTAAAGATGGACTTTTATGAGTCAGAACCATGTCCCCTTGATTGATTCACATCAGAAGTGAAATGATGGAGATTACTTTGAGCGTTCTTTCTTCCTAAGGTTGGATCCAACACGTTCTTAGCTTCTTAGCTCTTGGCCCTATCAATTCGAATTGATTTTTGGATTCTCAGTGTGCTTTCTCAAGGGTACGAGGCCCGCTTTGGATGGTTGGCTCGTCAAGTTTATCGTAAATGCATAATGCCCCTCAGTTCCAACCACCCAATGATGATAACTACCTATACCAAAATCCTTACAAAGTTAAATTTTGTCAGGTTTTTGTAGTTGAGTCCTGTTTATGGATCTCTTTAGTACATTAATCTTCAGAAGGCATATTAGCCAATGGAGTAAGGTGCGTGCCTGATAAGCTGAAGGTACCGGGTTCAATTCGTACTCGAACTACATTTTTTTTGTTTTGTCGAAGGGTTATCCCTGGGATATCCTTGGGACATCCTTGGAATATTCTTTATTCGTACTTGGTACATCCCAGGGACGTACTAGGAGGACATCCCTTTGATGCCTTTTTGACGGCCAGCGGATGTCCCTGGGACGTCCCTAGTATATACATTGCCCTGACAAAGGATATCCCTGGGATGTCCTGGTATAAAATTTAGGACGTCCCTGGAAAGTCCCCAGGATGTGCTTGTTTTGTAAGGGATTTGAGCGAACATGAACTTCTTCGAAGAATTAGCTCCCATCCTTCAAGGCTGTCCGACTGGGACTTTCGACTTCGATGTAGACCTCATACTCTCGTAACTCCAACTGATGAGATGGAAATATGAGCCCTTATTATATTGAATATGTCTGCCCAAATGGTAATCATGCTCGAGGTCATGACGACAAGATTCGCGAAGCAATTTGGAATATAATATTACTAGTGGCAGGAAAATATAACATTCACCTTGATAGTGGAAAAAATCATCACTACCGGACCTTATATATTTTTCAGTTACATCTTTTCTCATGAGTGATAATAAATGATGTATAAATAACTATATAGTAGTGAATCTTGGTGCCCTTAGTGAAAATCGTATTACCTGATATGTTTTTGAATATTATACTTTTTCATTTCCAGGGCACCCTCATATCAAAGTTTTTGTAACTCAAGGTGGTATGCAATCGATAGAAGAATCCATTACCAATGGAGTACCAATGGTCGGATTACCATTCATAACTGACCAGCCGACGAATGTCAGAAGGTTTACCGAATTGGAGATGGGTCTAGGATTAGATTATCGAACCATGAACAAGGAACAGTTGAGGGATGCTATCATCGAGGTAGCAGAAAACAAAAAGTAGGTAGTCGAGGCAAGACAAGTTCAGCCAATGAAATGAAAATCATTCATTATAATCAATATCAATAAGAGTTCGACAGAATTCCATCACGAAGAGAGAAAGAGGAAGAGAGGAAGAAGCTTTATGCCACGTATAGACGAATTAAATTGCGAGTGTTTCCTGCCTAAACGCAAAGCTGCGCCTAAGTGGTTCAGACACGCGTAATCTGTTTCGAGCTTTTGGCTCTCATCAGTGCAGAGCTGTCCCAGATAGCAGTTTTGGCCGCACACGAGGCGTGCAACGTCCGCGAAATGACCATTGTATACTACTTTGAGTATATATATATATTGAGAATACGCCAGTCGAGCAACCTGCCTCTCCCATTTCACCTAGAATGGGATCTTGTTTTGGGGTGTTTCTTTCCTTGCCAGGTGGAGTTCGGCGTTTGCGTTCATTTCGCGGACGTTGAATTCCTCGTGTGATTTGAATGCAGAGATGCGTTTACTTTGGATCAGGTTCACACCAGATATCGGTCAAGAATGCTATTTGGAACAGCCCTGCACCAATAACAGCCGACATCTCGAAACCGGTCTGCAGGTAGTTACGCGTTCCTGAACCACTTAGCCGCAGCTCGGCGTTTAGGAAGAAAACACTTGCGATTTCATTCGTCTATACGAATTATTGCATAGATTTCGAGAATTTGTAATCCAATGTTCTGCGTGGCATATAGTCAGAAAAGTATCAGTTTTTCACAGTAACCTCTGTTTATTTTTTGAACTAATGAAGTAATGAATTCGTGTTTCTCCTTCTTTGTGACCATTGCATTCCACTCCAAGTATCTGGCTTTTTCCCAATACCTACCTCCTCTCCCTATCCTTCCTAGGTACACATGATTTCATATGAGCATTATAGAGATTTTCTTGCGTGCGCTCGAAGCGATGAAATAAGTTCCTGAAAATAAATAATAATTAATAGACTAGGAGCTGGTGACAGGTGACGTTCTCCCATTTCCCACTGCCTACCTTTTTGAGGTTTTGTAAGTAACCCCAATATATGAAAAATATACGGATTCCAGGCCGCCCCACGTGTGCACTTCATGAAGAGAAGCGTTTTTTTGTGTTGGAGTTCGTGTTTCTTCGGGATAATCTACTACCTGCCGATGTGATATACGGTTCAAGTTCAAACAAATTGAAGCTCTCATAATTATTGCTGGAATGGAATTCGTAGCGGTCGAGAGGGCTCAATATGGTAACGAAAAACTGAAGGGAACATCCATGTTTTCGAATTGCACCCCGATGTCAAAAATTGAAGTTTTGGTAACAAAAACACACTGGAAATATTGGCATGTACCCTCCGTATCACCAACGCTGTGAAAAAGCGATACAGGTTTTGTATTATTTCTTCCCTAGATGCTTTCAGGAAGGGCTCCAGTTCTTAGTGTCTCCAGGCCTCGAGTGTTATGTTTGTGTATATTGATCCTGGAAAATAAACCCCGTACAATTCTCTCAGGGTATCTTCCTCATTCTGTGTTTATTTCTCTGGATTTTTGCTAATGGTGTGGATAATTCGTTGGGGTCCTCTTGTGAAAATTTCATCATGTCTGGCTACCTCGTGAGTGCCTTTCATTCCCTCACAGTGTTTCCTATACGATTCTCTTTTGGCTCGCCTTAGGGTTTTGTTATACCTGGTGAGGAAGTTCATATATTCCCTTCATTCACTTGTGATCTTAATTTTATTGGAAAGTTTCCTGGTCAGTTTCCTCTTCTTAGTAAATTTCGTCATTCCACCAGGGCACGTTCCTGGTGTTCTTCCTACTAATAAGGGGACAGTTGTCGTTGGAAGCATAGATGATTGCGTCTTGTAGTTGTCCAGCAATTTCTTCAGCCCACTCATTAGGTCCGCCCTATATGCATTCCAGTTGGTTTTTCGGGGGTTGCGATATGTTTCTGTTCCGGTTTTGCTACCCGATATTTCTAATTGGATGTGCATGTGGTCGGAACAACTTTCCCCATCTGACATATGCTAGCTTTTGACAAAGGTGCTCATGTAGTTGGTTTCCATTCTTCAATCAATTACCTCTTCCTGATTTCAGGTTAAGAAAGTAGGTTCGTTGCCCTTATTACTGACGTTTGTGTTCGTAACGCTGCCTCGTCATGTGCGTTGAAGTCGTAGCCGATGACTTACTGAGATCCATTTCCTCTATCGCATGGAAGATAGGCCGATGCTATCACTATCTCTCTCGTCCCCTTCTTTCTCACCATCCTTGGTTTTACTGCTGTTAGGTCCTTAGGTCAAAAATTTCCTAGCGGCAGTATTTTCATCTCATTTCTGATTGTATATGCATGTTCTTGGTTCAGCAGTTGAGTAAATTAGCTTGCTTATTCCCCCGAGAGTTTGATCAAGGATGATCTCGGGATGGCGTTTGTCAATTACCGCCAGTCTGAGTTCATTTCCGACCTCGCTGTAGGTTCCGGAATGCTTATATGCGGTCGGTGGCTTCTTGGTCTTTTTGTCGGATGTCTTGGACTTATCCCGAGTTCTTTTCGTACCCTTGGTTCTTCTGGCACCCGTGGTGAATGATTTGTCGATTCTTTCTTCCCGTGGCTTCCACGACTCTGTGGCAATTTTCTCGGGTTTAACTCGTTTCCTTCATTGGGCGCCAGACATCCCAAGAGGTCTTCTGTGCAGTTTGGGGTCATATGAACTCTCAGTGACTGTGTCGCTGGTTCCATGCGTCACCGTTGATGTATCACTGCCGTGGTCCGACTCCACAGTAGTGATTGTTGAGGTGCTTGCTGATGAGTCCGAGTACTCACCAGCTCCATCCCTCCTGGATTTATTTCTGTTTTTCTCGTTCATGAAAATCCAACGGGTAAGGACAAGAAGGTTGTCCAGCCCTACGGTGCCCCCTGTGTAGGGCTAAGGCTTTTACTCAGGGATTTCGCCCAGTTTCCTAGAGGCTCCGTTCGTGATACCTGCTGCGCCCCATTCACCTATTGGCACGGGTCACTTGACACCTTAGATTAATCCTTATCGAGCTGTCCTTTGTTTCACCATCTTTCGTCAGGTTCGAGGAGGAGTGGCTACTCGGTCCCCTCACCATCGTCGATGTGTCACAGCTCCTTGAGAAAGAAAATACCCACGTTCCTATGGTTATATATAAAAAAATACAAATTTAATTGATTGAGGATTACTATTGTGGAATTCCCAATGAAGTATGTGGATGATAGTCGGGATTCCTGGCAAACATGTTATGAAATTTTTGAGTCTCCTCGGAATTCAATACTCTGATGAATATTTTCTCGAAACATTTGAGATATTTGATATAGATAGATAGATAGATAAATAGATAGATAGATAGATTCTTCATTGCTTTCAAAGACATTACAGTCCTATAGCAAGGATTCGGTTATTTCTGATGAACACTTTACATGGAAATGTGTACAATGCAAATTGTAATAATTGTCACTATACATATGTGCAAATATATACAGTTTTGATTCATAACAAAAAAACGAACAGAAAGAAAGAATAGGGAAATGGGGCAAAGTTGATGATATCACGAAGTGCTACTCGTTTCTTGAAAATGCTCTGGTTTTTAGAATATTCCATATATAGTTGGCGATATTTTTGCATTTAAGTGGAGTTAGATTGTCGATGAAGTCAATCAACGAGTGGCTATCCGGGAGATGATCACTGTTTGGTATTCTGAAAGTATTGTAAATCGGACAATCGAACAAAATATGCTGCAACGTTTCTGCAGAATTCAAATTACAAATTGAACATATCTCATTGGGATTCATTTTATATGAGCTTCCATTATATGGGAATTTGATGAAATATTTATTACATATTCTTAACTGCGATATTGTGCGAATGATCTGAATGGGCAAATGGAAATGTAGATAGTTAGCCTCAGCTTTTGTGACAGTTAATTGTTTATAAAATAGCAGAAATGTGGATCTCTGCAGGAGAGCGCGATCTTGTCCGTGGAGTTAACTATAATATTTAGATAATAAATAAGTTTCATGGGTTCTCAGAGAGTGAGGGTTCATTTCAATCAGAAACTCTGAGGCGTCGATAAAATCAAAATGTTCCTTCACTTGAAGTGCCCAGTTGAACTTTGGGTTGAAATTCGTTAGTGACATTTGCCTCAGAAAACACAATTTCGGAAGGCGACGGATGTCCATCTCAAGAATTTTGATGATCCAATTCAGGGTGGATTTGAAGATATTATATAGAAACTTAACTTTTTCAGTTTCAAGCCTGACGATATAATCTGGTGAACTAAGTGGCAGTAGCAAGAGCCTTTTGAAGAAGTTCACTTGTACTCTTTCAAGGATGTCATCATATTTCAAACCCCATACAGGAATACAACCCGTCATCACACTCAAAATTGTTACTTCATAAAGTTTCATTCTGCCTTGCCGTGAATTAATTTTGGTCTTTGTCATTATGGGCAGTAATGCACCAATTGCTTGTTTTGCTTAATTGGCTGATGAAACTGCCATCTCACGAAAAAATGAGGATGAGGTGAAAGTCACTCCCAGATAGACGTACTTATTTGTCATAGATATTTCCACCTCGTCAAAATAGAATTAATATCCTGGGTTGTTAGTCTCACAAGTACCAAGTAGATATTTGATATATTCTTCTATCCTGCCTCTCTGCCCTGAATTGGATTTTGAAATTTTTCCTTTTTAAATCGTTTTTAGCTGAATGGTCGAATACAGGGTATGTCCCAAAGTCATGGACCAAAAGGAGTGTGGTGGTAGGATGGGTCATTTTCAAACTAACCGTAAATATCATCCAATTGTTGGTGGTTCAGGAGTTATTGATTTCTTTCATTTCTAAAAAAATTTCTGACAATGAAAATATGTCTCATCAGTGATTTTTTTTTTTACTGATCCGCACGGGTGCACCTCTTTCCAGGAATTATTTGATGATCTGTGGTACTTCGTATCAATAACCTGAGAGAAATGTTGTTGTTTTCAAGCTTTGTCATCGAATGGAATAATTCAGTTGATTTTCAACTGCAGCTGGCAGATTTGAAAACTACCCCACAAAGATAATCAGTCATAAGCAAAAATTGACAATTTGAAACAAATTGTAAATTGGTCGCGTTTTTCGAAGATATTGAATAACACATAAACCGTTAGTTTGATTGCAAATGACCCCTCCTACCACCGCACTCCTTTGACTCATTCGACATCTAATGGTTTGAGATGAGATATTTGAAATCATTTTCTGTTCGGTTTTTGTGCCCTGAATTGGATCTCTATTTCATTTGTTCCCAACTTCATAGAGCACCAAGAAAAAAATATATAACGGTATAAAGTTCCATCATTTCAACATGAAGCATTTGTATATTTAGGAAAAAAATATTTTCAGGATCACTCTCTCAGGAAACGATATCTACCTCAAAACCCATGCATCTTCGAATTATGATTATATGAACTTCATTGAATAATCATCAATCTCGGTCGTGAAAACAGAGTGGAAATATAACATCATTACTATCTTTCTGTTTGAATTATACAAGATTGTCTTAGGGCGGCATAGTGGTTGTCCTTCAAGTCGTCCAGTACACTGAGATGAACTCTTAGTCAAGATATTTGAATTTGACATTTGTGGGTTCCAGATGTGATTGAATAGACCTAAATAGTTTCTTTACATGAAACGATCATTTCAATGGTGATAGTATATTATTTGCAAGAGGCGAATATACAAATTATACATGCCAGGAAGTCAGCTGACCCCTTATGAGCTAATGAATTGTCGCCAGTCTAGGAGAACCACACCATTATAACAATGAAATCTGTTTACTCATTTTATAGATACAAGTTACAGTGAGAGTCACAAAAAATGTCGATTGTATATAAATTACCTGTGAAATTCAACTACCGTATGTTTTTCAATTGACAATTATTCCCCTGTTCTTATTGAGTAATATAAACATCTTAATGATGATTATATCGACACATCAAACAAACTAACTCGTTAATCTCCTATGTTCACAGATACAAGGATCAAGTTAATAAATCCAAAATGATATTAGCTGATCAACCAATGAAGGGAATAGAAAAAGCAGTTTGGTGGATCGAGTATGTGCTCAGACACAAAGGTGCCAAGCATCTTCGTAGCGCAGCAGCCGACATGTCTTTCTACGAGTATTTCATGATTGATGTTATTTGTTTCCTATTTGTCTGCATTTCTCTTTCAATTTATGCTACTGTTAAATTATGTTGTTTGATCGTGTGGTTGGCAAGGAAACCTAGGAGTAAGGTGAAGTCGAATTGAATGTTATTATTAATTTTTATGACAACCATATTGAACTTCTCATGCAATATATGGTGTTTTGCTAGAAACAGTTGATAATTATTAGTCACCTGCCAAGCAAACACTAATGAATCATTTTTCAGAACGAATAAATCGAACTCTCTTCAACAGTGGTGATTACTCCCTCAATAAATATAATCAAGGCGTGTTGAAGACTCAGTAACTTTAACATTCATAACAATCCAATATTTCTTATCCGTTCATTGACGATATCGAACCAGTATCTATATTTTCTATTATATTTTTATAAACAGGTTCAATCACCTATATAGTGATTATCTTTATCCACGACTATAGTATTGGATTTTCTTTCCGGAATGATTATTGTTCAGAAAAAAATCTTATATTCATATGGTATAAAAATTAATTATCAATATACCTGCAGTCTGGTTCATTACCAATTATTTTTTCTTCAATTATTTTTGACATTGGGTAATAGTGAACTTTCATTCTGAATCTATCTACCAGAAACGAGATGCAACATCTGCTTCTGATGGAACAAAATAACAAAGGTGATGATTTTGAAATAATTTTCAATCTTGGAATTCATTGTACACTGATGAAGATCGGTATTCAGTTTCAGTCGTTGATGTCTTGAAAAATGATATGCTTCGTTGTCACCCCCTCATTTGTTATGGATTATCGTTCCATAATTCTATTCCTTTAACAATTCAGTAGTATACTCTGCTTTATTTACGACAAATTTATTTATTTTAGATTTTCAATGAACAACTTTATTTGTCAATAACATTCATTTTAGATTTTCAATGAACAACTTTATTTGTCAATAACATTTAAATCAGTGACAGTACAATTAATAAACTGAATTGTTGGTAAATTATGATTAACTTTGGAAGAGTTTTCAACACGAATATTTGGAATTTCGGTTGCTGTAAAAGAAGAAGTTGCTTCATTACTATTTATCTGTTTGGCAATAGTATCTGCTGTAGTTGTTTTGTTTCTCATAGACTGATCAATGTATCCTTCAGCTACTTGGGTAGATTTCCAGCCCCCATGACGCTTCAATCCAGTTATATCGCCTCCTCCATCAATGTACAGAGTGGCAGAACTGGCAGATGATCTGCGATAACAATGGCCGGTATAACTTTGAGGATTTGGCAAGTTTAAATATTTGGCAATTTGTCTACCAATGTCTGCAAATTTGTTTTTTTCTATACGTTGTATTGTACATTTCGATTTTTGATAATTTATAAAGAATGAATTGGTTTCTACATGTGACGGACGGAGATCGATGTACTTCTTTACAATATTGTGAAACGTACTGTTTATGGTGAATTTTCGTACAATTTTAGTTTTAGTCTTGGGTATTGTTATCAATAACTCCGTTTGGAAATCCTTCACGTTTTCTATCTTCATTTCATAAAGCTCGTTTGAGCGGCATGCGCCCATAATTCCAATAACTAATATAACCTGAATCAAATAAGAACATGAGTTTTTGAATAGATCAGATTAAATATGAAAATTTACCTTATGCAAAGAAAAAATTTCATCAGGAGCTCTGTCAATAAATTTCCTAATTTCTTCCGGGGTCAGAGTGGAAGATTTCTTCGCTTGAAATCCTTCAGATTTTCATTTTAAAATCGCTCGTAGTTTCTTATATTTTTCCAGATCAACGTCATGTTTTATCTTCAACACACATTTAATCATTGAATAGAATGACCTTAAATGAAGATGGCTTGTATTTTGCACCCAATTCAGCGAAATAGGCCAGCAGAATATTTTCGGAATAAGAGTTTGCCTTGTTTCGAAGACGCCATTCGTTGAACGATGCCTACGTTTTATTATAAATGGATTTCGATGTTCCTGGTATTGAGGTAGATGTTGTTGCTAATTAAGCTTTCGGGCCACGAGAAACTATTTTTAAAAAGCCAAAATTTTAGTTTCGAACAAATAACTTTATTTGTACAGAGAGATGTGGACGGTACGACGTCGCTAACAGAACTGAAAACTAACTATCTAGCATGGTCAATCGTATTCGTATAAACCTAAGTCAGCACTACATGGAAGTTACAATCTAAGGGTTTTCTGGGGGTTGGAGCATATAACTCCTCCATCCCTAAGATGAAAATAATACGGTAGTATTATGTTCAGAATTCAAGTCTTTAGGTTTTGTCTCGTCACTTTTGAAGTGTTTTAAAATATCATTCTTGTATTTCATAGAGAAATAGTAAATAGTTAGAGCGATAATGATTATGCTCAGAATAATACAAATATAAAACGTAGTATATGGGGTGTTGTTTTCTTCCAAGGCCTGGAGTCGGTGGAGTTGCGTATTCTCGGCTAGCTTTTGGAGCTTCGTCAGCTCGTCCAGGTTAATCTTGTCCAAGATCTTCAGGGGGTGGTCCGCATGGTCGGGTTCGATGATTTCAACCCTGGGTAGTTGCAGAGGGGTTTCTCGTATCGAAGAGACGTCGTTGCTGTATTCTTCTCCATTAATGATAAGGCTGCATTTCTGAGGGACGTAGATCAGCTGTGGTTTGTGGATTTCTTCATATCCGCTTTCTTTACACTTCTTCTCGACGGTGGTGTGTCCGGCGGGAATGACAATGACATAGGTATCACTGACAGGTTCTACTACATCCTGGTCTAGATGGACTCGTAATGATTGGCATGGCTGGCTGCTCTTTCCTTTCAGTAGTTCGGGTAGGCAATCTTCCTTGGATATTTGATTTTCCGGGCGGAAAATACAGGTTGTCTCGACTTCATGGCATGGGCTGTCCTCGTAGTGATGGTAAGTCGAGTTGAGGATGATGTATGGTTTCGAGGGGATTATGGCATTATTGGAAATCGGGATAGGAAATAAATGATAATAATCGTAAAGATTTTCTCGCAGTATCGGGACGTGAATCGTGAATAGAATTAAATCGTTTTTGTATAGCGTTTCAATTTTCAGAAGTTTGTAATATGATTGAATGTTATCGAAATCTGGTAGACTTCCTCTGTACGTTTTGAGCATGATTTCGATTAATTCTTTGAGCTCGGATATTGGTAATATTATGTTATGAATGATATTCAGTTCGCTGAATAATATCGCTTCTTCGATATTGTTCAGTGTTGACAGTATATTTTGACAATCAATTATCATTGTATCGAGAGAGTTTTGAAGCCGTAAGAATAGCGTATATTTATTCAGACTGTTCACAATAGTCTCTATTTGTTCGCCGATAAGTCGTTGGTTTTTGACAATTTGTTGCAAATTATTTGTTGTTTCGTTCAGGAATCTTTTTGTGATAGTTATGTAATTTTCCAAATCGTGATGTAGCAATTTTTGATTGTTTGTTAATGTAGAAATAGCCTGGTCATATTTTTGTTCGTCTTCATCGTCTAAGGTGCCAAAAAACCATTTGTTCGTTCTGCCTACGAAATTGATTAGTCCTCGTTTTGGTCGGCTGAATTTTTGAGGTTTGATGTTTGTTAATTTCGCAGAGATTTGTTTGAGAAGTTGTAACAGATGGTTATGCATATGATGTAGTTGTGGGTATAAGACGTCTTTTATTGAAATGAGATCAGTTATGTATTTCGAATTGTTTGTTATACTATTTATTGGGTCGTCAAATTGTTTCAAGTCGATAGGTTTCAAAAATGTATGTTTTTGGGTAGTGATTCTCGCTTTTCCAAGAGAGAAGGGAAGGATGGGGTTAGATATTTCTGTCATAGTTATCTTTTGTCCATTAGCAGTTAGGATCCCGAGGATTAGAAGGTGCAGCGTCGTCATCTGGAAAAATTTGTTTCTGAGCTAGTTTTCTCTGAGGTTTCAGTTTATTTTTATGATATTTCGATTTTTGCGTTTTTACTTTGGTGCCACAATCTTCGATAGGAGATATTTTTCTATAAAGGGGAGATAATTTATTTCGGGGCGATTCTTTGAGAAACGTGTTTTCGTCGATTTTTATCTCTGGTGGATCATCTCTTTTGGAATTAATTTCGGTAAGATTCTTTGATTTTTCATTATTCTGTTTGATTATTTCGTTGATGATTTTTTGGTTTCTTGCGTGTTTTTCAATGTAGTCAGAAGTTATTTTTGAAAATGTTATATCGAATGGATTTTGGTGTTCAACGTTTCCTTTGATAATTTGAAAAGGGGTGAATTTAGTTGCGGAGTGAATAGTGTTGTTGTATCCTAATATTGCGTACAGCATTTGTGTAGTTATTAGTCTGTCAGGGTGTTCGAGTTTTAGTGTTCTGATTTCTTCAATGAGCGTAGAATGTAGGCGTTCTATAGGGCTGTTGCTGTTAGGATTTTTTGGGGTTATATAATGTAAAATTATTTTGTGTAATTTACAAAAGTCTTCAATTAGATTATTTTTGAACTCTGTGCCGGAGTCGCAAGTAATTTTATTTGGGATACCGTAATGGGAAAAAAATTTCAATAAACCATCTAATATGTTGGGTGCATTCAAGTGAATCGGGTATGCTTGGGCAAAGCGTGAGAAGCTATCAATAACTGTCAAAAATTTTTGTTTATCCGCTGAAAATGCATCAATATAAATATGCTCGAAGGGGTGTTCTCCAATAGGTGTAGGATTGAATTTGATAACATTGGGGTGGCGTTCATATTTGGACTTCTGGCAGGTGACACAAGTGTTAATATAATTCGTCACGTCTTGAATCATGTATGGCCAATAATATGTTCTAGATAGAGAGTCTTTCGTTTCATTTATACCCCTATGAATGGTTTTTGTTTCGTGATGATGCTGGATTTTTTGCGTTTGTTCATCTTTATCTGTGATGTCAGTTAAAAGGAAATTACTCTGGACCAACTTGAAGGCTGAATGTTTGAAATGTTTTTGAATTATTGGGATTGCTTTATTTTTCACACGTTCTTCAAAAAGTATGCCATAGACTATTTTTGGATCTAGATATTCTAAGAAGATTCTCACTAGGTCATCTTCGAAGTTTCTGTTTGACAGTACTACCTTTAGACGGGTTTTATCAAATGGTTTTGTAAGTCTTACCCGGGAGGAAATAGAGTCTAAACTTTCGGAAAGTATAATTTGGTTCTTAAATTTATTCAATGGTTGCTCAGAAATCCGGATTTCGAGA